ATTTCTTCAATGTTCTAAATTTGTTGTCATAACCCAATCTTAATACTTTCTTGTTTATGGAATAATACATAAAATGTTTTTCTTGTGAGCGTTATGTACGCCTGTTATCTATTAGTTCTTCTGCTTTTTCGTTTTTCCTTGTCTTTTAATTTCCTTGTACATTTAATTTGATTGTAAACTTTGAACTTGCAATTATTGTACCTTTCCAAAAAGTAAATAAAAAAAAATCTGTACAAATGTCAAACAGTCATAAACTAAAAAAAAATCAAAACCTTCACGCAATTCAACGCAAATCTATTTTACACGGTACAAAAAACATGAAGTGGTTAGCTAAAGCCATGTTTTTATAATGTCGTGTCTTAGCAAATTGTTGTGTTGACAAGTTGAAGGAATGCATGAGCTGTCTATAGATAAAGCTGCTCAGTAGCCTTTCAACAAGACCTCGCTTCATTTGCTACCTAATTGTACTTATTTATTGGAGCGCAATACGAATAATCTAACAAGCTCTCGAGTTTGTATCTATTTAAAAAATCGATTATAAAATTTTTGGTTCAAATAAAAAATGAAATCAGTACGTCATCATCTCCCTTGCTTTATCCTACTAAAAAATGAATTAGTACATGATTTATTCTTATAAACTATACGTGTTTGTGCTCAGATAGAACGATATAAATTGAACTAGCTACTAAATGGTCAATAATTCGTATGTACCTTTTAAAAACTTACGCTCTATAGTAAAACATTATTAATAGTATACATTACACCGTGAACTTTGACAAAGGTCTAATATTAGCTACGCTTAATTTTAGGTTAATGCCACATTTAATCCGAAACCTTTCTGTTAAATAAAATAAAAGAATTATCAATCAAATAAAGTAGCCGAACCTCTTTTCCATTCAATTGACATTACTAATCTGACGTCCGCCATTTTTTAATTTGACATTAGCTAAATGTCAAATTTGACAATCAACATAGTTCTGCGCTTAGCTTTGCTTTTAATTTATAGCGGGGCAAGCGCAAAATGGCGCAATAGGCGTGATTAATGACTGCATAATCGAAAGTTTTTGTTTTGCTCAGTCTCGAGAATGTGTTACGGTCGCCTCATACCAGGGCAAAAAATATCAAAGATACGTATGGAAATTGATGAAACCCTAAATATACGAGAGTTCAAAGTTTTATAATTAAATGAAAGATTTCTTTACTTATGAAAATATAGACAACCTAATTTTTTTATTAACATTGATTATGTTGTCAAAAATCTAAATACATTTTATATGATTAAATTTTTAAACGTTTTGTTCTCTAAACATTCTCATTTTTTTTTTCATTTTCGTCTTTATATTTGTATTTGGAATATATTTTTTTTTAATTTCAGCCAGAATTCCATCAATAAAGATTTGAAAAAATATTCTCTCTCGTCTGGTACATTCAATAAATAGAAATAATACATGCAATACTGCATTAAGCAATATGTAAATGAACGTTTAGAAAGTAGAAATATAATTACAAAGTTTAACATAATATAACAACGATCGTAGACCATTAATATAAATTATAACTTTATAGGTTAATGTAAACATTTTTATACGGAATGGTAACCATCAATTTAGTTGCGTTGGGTACATTTCGTGACTATTAATTGACATCCTTTTCATTCCTATTGAGAAAAAATAGGATAGCAATATATTTTCGTACGTTATGATAATAGAAACTCACTAAATCTATATTTATAAAATAAGTGGTATAATATTTGTGTTTTATTTTTTTAATATCTATTCATGTTGTATTTATAACATACTAGCTTTCGCCTACGACTCCGTCCGCGTGGAATTAAAAAAAAAACAAAACATAAAAGAGTAGCCTATGTGTTCTTTCAGACTATCTCTTCTACATCTTCCTCAAATCCTTCGAGTTGTTTAAGCTACAAACTCTAACAAACATCCATCCATCTAAAATTTCGCATTTATAATATTAGTATGAAATATGATTTTTTTTAATACGTGACTATATCATTACGTCCATAGATGTTGGCAACACTGCTAATAGGAAAACCAACAATAGTTTATTAATGATGCTGTTTTATTGTTCATTATTTAGTTGATAATTAACTACTGTCCGTTTGTCCGGAACTATATTAACTTGATGAATTAAATTCATTTGTATTTAGTTTATTCATCCCGGATACGTAATCATATTTGTGTTGAACAACTAGTGTTGTTCATACATTGATAATCAAAGTTTAAAAAAAAATACTTCTGTCCAATCACAAATAATCTATACTATACTGACATAATAAAGCGTAAACACACATTACTTCTTGGCGTAGGATGTCAACAATCACAGCAGATATTTAAATAATTCTTTCTTAATTAAAAACCCTACACTTACAACACGCTTTAGGCTATACATTTTCACCTCATTGAACTAAGGTGGTAAAAAATTACAAAAAATATTTAATGTGGGAAAGGGACCATAAACTACAAATTGCCAACAAGCAAGGTTGTTATGGTAACGATAATTTTTATATTTGCAATTGAAAATTTGACAAATGTTAACGTTGAAATATTTTTCTTATAATTTCATGCTGATGAAGCCGCACGGGAACAGTTAGTTTGAACTAAACAGATTCATTTGTTTCAGAACACCTTTCCAAATACGTTAAAACTCCATTCAAAGAAAGCGCACTGAAAACAGAATCAGGTCGCCCTAACCATTTTCTCATTTGTATTTATTTTCCCTATCCATTACAATTGTGGTGTGAATCGGTTCCCGTGAGCCAGCTGAGTACCACGGTAATGGGTTACGCTAAACACATAGCTTGTTTTACTATCAACTGACATTTATATCTATTAGGCAACGAAATATCGTTTGGTTTTCGTGTTCGTTGCGAGCGTCCCTTATCTTGTCGCTTCTACAGTTTATGTTAATCTTACAACTTCTGTTTACTTCGGATCAAGAAACTTTATATCGTTCGTTTTATTGATCTGTTCTGTTCGACATTGTTTTACAAGTTTGTTTTTAATTACCTGATTTATTCCGTTTTTAATTTATTGTTAGTGACATATGCTTGCGTTTTATTAAATATTTTTACCAAATTTGAATTACTGTAATCGTTGAAATTATATTGAAAAATATAAATAAAACAGCTATACCAAAATCAATAGACGTTTTTCTTTATATATCTAATTGTTTTTCGGTTAGCTAGTCATGTCTTGATCATTCAATCCATTCATTCGTGAATGAATGGATGAAATTTTATAGCTTATTTTGATTCACGTCCACATATCCGGTCGACCTCAAACTTTGTACAGATGCTTCAACGGTAACTCAATTAAAAACCCCTTCAATTTGTTCTCCGCTTAATCTTATTGACTTTGAACATATGTGTTTAACATTTCTATTGACTTGATCTTTTATTTCACAAGTAGATGTACGAATAAGTAAATCTATTTTTGAATGTAAATCAAAGATGATGAAATTCTCAATTGCTTCAAAGAAACATTTACAAGCTCGTTTCCTCAATCAAAACACTATCGCCGACGTTTCATCTATTTAAACATAGATCTAAAAATTCTTACTAAAAATACATCCATTTTCTAATAGACATAAACCTTACAATCTTCTGACACAAAAACGTTAGGTATTTTATCGTGACAAGATCCGTCAGATTCCCTACATGGTGTTAAAAGAAACGAAGATCGCTCAAGTCCACATCTCGAGCTATCTACAGTTAAAGTATAAAGTATTGAAAATTGAACCACTCCATGTGACGATGCTAACAAAGTAAACAACATAATTAAACTGGCGAGAAGGCGTGTAGATACTATCTAGCGACTTGTTATAAGGCATATGCAGTGAGCAATTAATTAAAATTAATTCGTTAATAAAATCCACCTACTGTTAAAGAAAACGGCGATCCCTCAGTGTTAATAAATAAATTATTGCCGGCTCGGATTGAGAGATCAATTTGCATAATTATAGATATGTATTACATAACATAGAATGTCTGTTATCTCTAGAAGTGTTAGATGACACTTCTGACTACAAATTTACACTTAAAATACTAAAATATTCAGATAACAACCTGTTTAGTTTTATATTGTAGCATGCGTTCTGATCGTGTTTTTTTACAGCACCTTTAAAGATAGTTTCAAATACATAGATCTAACACTTGAAATGGGTTTCTCATCGTATTTGCATCAAACTCCATTATTTAGTTAATAACATGGTCATTGCAGTACTAGCCTGTATTTACAAAGACCGAATGTCATACTTCGTCTAAAAACTTTATGAATGAGTCATTTCTATAACCTACGTATATTCTGTGTTATATTTATTGTATACTAGATTGCGCCCGCGACTCCGTCTGCGTGGTATTAAAAAAAGTAAGCAAAAGTAAGTAGCCCATGTCTTCTTCCAGACAATGCTTTACATCTATGCCAAATTTCATCGCAGTCAGCAGTTTAGGCTAGAAACTCTAACAAACATCCATCTAAACTTTCGCATTTATAATATTAGTAAGAAGTAAGATTACGAAACATGTTTGGTGTCAGTTCTTAATATAATACAAATTAAAAACTTCGAATTTGAGTTGTCTCATATAAAAAGTTCGTAAAACCATAGTATTGATTTCAAATGTTTTCCGTGTCCGAAGTTAACTTAAGTTTTCAATTTGTTCACAACATTAATTGTAATTTTATATGTGTAAATAAGTGTATTCAAAGTAAAGAATTTCATGTAATGGCAATTAATTTTATAAAACACGCACATCTTTCAAGATTAAGTCAACATTAATTAATAACAATTGACTATAAAGTCAATTTTTATTTGTCTACACTACGAGTTATAAATAAAAACTTATTGACATCTTTACGATATTAGAGTACAACTACTGTTTAACAATTCGTTTAATATTAAAAACAAATAACTAATTGGCTATAGAATTTGTATTTTATACACTAATAAATAACACAACACAAACGGAATAAAAAATAACAAACCTTTAAGAATTCCAACGATAAATTATTGAAAGACGACTCGAAATCCCAGTTTACAAAATCACAAAGATATATCACATAACACAATACTTCTAATATTTGTCTATTATTTTACGCACTCTTAGTATACAGTTATAAACTTAATTCTGTTAACTTATGAAAATTTGATAAACACTTTCGTCGCGCAAAAATGCTAATGATGTTGATAAAAAAATTTGAACAATATTGTTCGTTCCGCTTTTTACGGAAACGTGGACAACCGACAACGTCCCGTAAAAGACTGACGGATCTAAAAACATGTACCTTGAATAAGAGCTATACCTGCTTCTCTCCAACGGAGGTATTTCAGTTTATTAGAGCGGGACAGCAACAATGGCATGCATTATGGTACTCTGTCTCGTTGGACTTTTTTCCGATGATTTCTTTGAACGATTCAGTGTTAGGATCTATACGATCTATAGATCGTTATACCGAGCCCCGTGAGTTATGCCTCCGTACATTGATTCATTGATACGCTGTGGCCGCTATGAAATTATTGTATTTGCTTTTAATTCTATCAAATTTGATGAGGCCCTGTTATGAATGTCTTCAACTTGAACACGCCTACGACTTAATCGGAACTCAATAACTTAGATACAGAATGGTTTGCGATAGATGATTTAAATATTCGATTTCAATTGTTTTAGATGGCATAGTCCTTTGTAATATTTATTTATGGTTATTGTTTTAAGTTCTAGCGATGTTTATGTTGTTTTATTTAGAATTATTATATCACTTGTTCTATAATTTGTTATTTAATCTAAACAATTATTTTATGTGTACTTAAAAACTCATTATTCAAATACTTAACTTTAATTTAATTGCAATAAACCTTAATTTTTAAAACTATTTAGGAGATGAGATCCGAAAGTTTAAGAGCTTTTACGCTGCAATTTTTCAGAATAACTTATTGTCAACTTAACTCCTTTAGAAATTTACACCAAAATTATCTATGTTAAATCACATAGTTTTGAAACATCGAAAAATGTCTAAAGCAAGCGTAGTTCATCATCAACTTACCTTAATCCCTTACAGAGGGTCGGCACAGTATGTGCTGCTCTTTCATACATCTCTATCAGCCGTCATATCTGAATCCACTCCCTTTTTAAGCATGTCCTCTTTCACACAATCCATCCATAATTTACCCGAAGTTCTTACGGTGAGGGAAAACATCGTGATGCAACCTGCACATATCGGCGAAGAAATTCAAAGATATGTGTAAAGTCCACTCGCAGTGGGTCAGCGTAGTTATGGCCTAGTCACCTCTTACTTGGGGTAGGCTCAGAACTCCTCAAAGGGGACGTATAGTGAGCTGGTGATGATGATGATCCATACTTTCTTCGGTCTTCCTCTACCTTTGTAGCCATCCACATTAAAGCATGCGTAGTTACGGTTAATAATAAATTATTTATAGGTATAACGTATGATATATGCCAATTTCAAATGAATATCATTAAAGATAAGTTTCATTGCCCACACGTATTTAATTAGGGAAGTGCTTGTATTACTAAAGCTCTTAGTTTTACATTTTATTGCTAGTAAAATGAATTTTATAGAGACGCCTTTCTCAATGTTAAGTGATCTGAAGTTAATGCCCTTTGTAATAAGGCATCAAGTTAAAGACCTAATATTATTATATAAATATTATTTTATTATGATATAAAGTTATGTATTCGATATATCGCGTTGGTATCGTTATTGTTTCCGATTTATATAATTTATGTTTTATTATGTTTTGTATTTGTTTATTATATTATGAAAACACTTCTACCTAAAGGTCTTAAGTAGCTATAAAAAATCACGTAAGTAAATATTTTTTTTGTACTCTTGAACTTACTTTTTGGCTGATTATAAGATCATTAAGTGGTCAACTTACTGACCAATTATCAACTTTGAGAGAGGCAGTTAATCTTTACAAGATGCTTTAATAGGCTGTTACTTAACTTTAAAACATCTCTCGAAGCTTAGGCATCAAACTTTACTTAACATCAAATGTATGTTATTAATTATTAAAAATGTACTAATCAAGACTATTTGTTAGTGATTAATTATAATAAATGTTTTCTTTCACATATTTATATTATCTTCGTTAACTAGAAGGAATTTAAAAAACGTCTTAGCCGTGGAAGCGATGGTTCACTGCATACTACAAGTTTTTACACATTCCTTGTTATTTGCCGCTAAGAAGCGCCCTCTACAGCATTTTTAGACAACCTGAGAAATGTCCTTATGTAATGGTATAATACAAAAAGTGGATAATGTAAATTTTATGCTCGGAACTCGTTCTATGAATAGGGCAATAAATTTTGTTACGTATTGCCTCTATTTTTAACATATCTTTTTGTTTTGATTCTTGATAGACTGTAATTGATGTTAATTGAAGTGGTATTTAGAAAATTATGAAGGTATTTTAAAGGGAATTATATCAAGGAATGCTTTAGTTGTATTGAACTACTATTAAACTTAGTTTCAAATATTAACTACTAGCTTTCGCCTGCGACTCTGACCCCATGAAAATAAAAAGTGACTAACCTACGTGTTCTTCCAGACTATCCTCTACAACTATACCAAATTTCATCGAGATCCGTTCTGCAGTTTAGGCTACAAACTCTAACAAACATCCATCCACCTAACATTTCACATTTATAATATTGTAAAGTATAAAGTATGATATTTTAATGTATTCCTTATTCTATCCACTCGTTTCTAGTAGTAATGGATGTTTATAGAAACCTTTTCACTACTAATATCGGATACATCTTTGCTTAAATAATATGTAAAAAAACAATCGGTCATTACATTATTTTATTAATTGTGTATAAAGAACGGAAATTCCCAACATAAGTGTAAAATTATTTGCCAGATTGTTTAGCTGTAGAAATATTATTCTGGTTGTTCGAATCAATTTTTTTTTCCCTATCTTGTTGGTGTAAGAAATAAATTTTAATAGCGCGACGTCTCAAGTGTTATTCTGTTGATGTACGGACAGACGGATAGTCGCATACTAAACGTTTTAATAGCATTTATTATTTGTAATGCAACTAACATAGAAAATCTATTAGGTATTTTTAAACCTTACTATTAATTTTATAAATGCGAAAGTTTGGATGGAGAGATAGAGATGCTTGTTAGAGTTTGAAGCCTAAACTGCTAAACGGATGTAAATATAGATAAATGCTTGGAAGGACACAGGCTACTAGCTTTTGTTTTTTAATTCCACGTGGACGGAGTCTTTGGCGGAATCTAGTTCATTGATGAATTAAGAAGAAAGAAAATATTATTTTACTTGATAATTCTAAGATACAATTAAGGGCGTCCACCACGTAATAGCCATAATAATAATCAAATACCGTTTAGAAATCGTTATTAAATGGGAACGTGTGATTGGATGACTTTTTTAACATATTACGATACATTGCTACAAAAATTTTCATTGTTATAATTTAAAGATTTTATAGTGTGCAGAGCCAATGAGATGTGACTTCTAAAGTTTGAAGGTGAAGACCATAAACGATTCGCGCAGTATTCTGCATTTCTGAATTCCGGGAAGTACCGCATTGTTATTTGCAGGCTGTCTCACACAACTTGCACTTGAAATAAAACAATAAGAAACTTTAAACGCAAAAAAATGTCGACAAATAACTATCGAATGTATCGCAAATATGTATCTTTTAAAGTTAACTTACCTTTTGTAGCAGGTTAGAGTTCATCGATACTAATGTTCTGTGGCACTCAGAGTCATTATGTGATCACTTAAGTCCATTAGAATATTTAGGTTAGGTATTAGAGATATACTGATAATTTTTTGCTATTAAAATTAGGGAAAAAAAATACAGTCCTGCAAAATCTTTTAAAAAATGGTTGTCTGACTAAGCGTATAGAAATTTCAAGATATATGGCTTATTGTCATCCTCCAAAGAAACCGTCTCAGATGCACAGCAGCTGTTACCTTTCAAAAAAATAATTTACAACTGATTGACATAATAAATTCATTATTAATGAATGTATACGTCCATTATTCTGTTAATTTCCATCAGCATACATATATCACGTAACTTTCATTAAAATTCCCTTCAATGAAATATATTAATGTCCCGAAAAGCCAAACAGTGTTCCACAATACACCACCCGCCACGGACTTTTTTATTTATTTTCCAAATCTAATTATATCAGTGAATCGGAAATTCGCGATAGTGATTGATGAACAAGGCGGCGTGCACACTAACGTCAAATTAAATCTAAATTAAAATTAGTAACACCTTTAATTATTAAGAAAAAAACGTCTTCGACATGTAGAAGCCTACTTACGAAATGGCTCTTGGTTCTTGGTTCAGAGTGTTATGTTCTTCTAGTCGTTATTCAGGTAAGCATGGTATACTCCTATTTTAAGGCTTCCTAGGCTTAGTCAATAACGCTAGTCCACTGCTGGTTTGTTGCCTTCATCTTTAAATATGGGCATATTTAAGTATGGGCTGATATGGTTTTTTTTTTCTACACAATTTAACTCTATTATTCCTCTGCAATCGAACAAATTTTTCCTAAAATAACATTACCATATACAGAAAGTTCTTACAACTTTTGTTAACTCAACACTATCTGCGGTTTGAAAGTTATAACTTTATATCAGTATCGCAATCGCTGCCGACCCGCTGTGTCGCTCACCTTGAAGTTTATTGTCTAGTCTAGTCCATTCAAACGTTACCTCACAAAGTCTGGTCTTAAATCCGGCATACTTCTAGGTCATACGTGCACTAAAATTATAACACCGCAACAGTGTATTAAAATGTGTCAGTTCGGATTTTGAATGAACATTTGATTCGCGCTTATTTCTAAGAAAAAAATTCTTTATATTTCAAACGGAATCGTATTTAATGTGGGCGAATATGAAAATGATTATAAGTGCAATAAAACCTGTATTTTTTCCAGATTGTTTTGTTGCCTAAAATTACTTCTAATTGCTATACTTGTTATTGAAAAACCATCGTATTTTAAAGACGAAATACAAATTATTCGATCTGCATATACCTTTATCCAGCCAGGTGTGAAATCCATCATAAGGCAACAATGTTA